ACAAGGTCCGGGATGCGAACTGCGGTGGATTACATGGGAATCTAGTGAAATAGCCATTATGCTAACTGCTGGTCCCAAGTTCGGTGTTTTCTGACAGGGTCTGGAGTAGGGATCCTCCTGCTCCAGCCTGCCAGTAAGCCAGGCCACAGGAATGTACTGTCATACCTGCTCAGGTTGGGCTGGGAATTGAACTTCGGCCTCCCATGAGGCCTCAACCTGGTGCATGGCATCTTCCCACCGCACTGGCTGCGGTCTTGGGTTTTATGGTAAGACAGGAAGACTCTGGAGGACGCTGAGTAGAGCAGGGGTGTCATCACCTGACTTAGGTTTCACGGGAGACCTTGGGTGGCTGCCACTGTCATGTGGAGACTGGCCTGAGGGGCAAGGAGGAAATGAAAGCCCAGCCCTCCAGGATGTGACCCTCACAGGAGAGAGGAAGGAGGCGAGAAAATGGGAAAGCATGTTACTATGGGTGGTAGTAAATCTTAGGAGGAAAATAGAGAAGGGGGAAGACATAACTACAGACTGTACCTAGGGGGAATGGTGATCATGTAATGAGAAACTGGGGTAATGGGGCCAGCAGGCGGCATGGTGGTTAAAGGCCCTGGATTCCCACTTGTCCGACCACAGTTTGAGGCCCGGACTTGGCAGCTTGCTTTCTCCCTTTCCCTTTCTCTGTTTCTCTCTGGTCAAATTTAGAAAGTAATAGTAATAGTAATTTTTTTAAAAAGAATTATTTTATTTAACTCTATTATTATTATTATTTTCCAGTTTGATCAGACAGAGAAAGTAAGCAAGCGAGCCACATGGTCCAGGATTTAAAAAAAAATATATTTATTCATTCATTATTTTAATATGACCAGAGAGAAACACAGAGAGAGAGAGAAAGAGGGAAAGTGAGGAAGCAAGCCACCAGGTCTGGGACTCAAACCATGGTTGGCTATATGGGAGAGCCTATCACTTTAACCACCATGCCACCTGCTGGCCCTTAAATAAATAATTCTTTAAAAAAATAAAATAAAAAGAGAAAGAAATTGGGGTAAGGGGGCCAGCAGATAGGGTAATGGTTACATTGCTGGACTCCCATGTAGTTGACCACAGTTTGAGTCCTGGACTTGGTGGTTTGAAACTCACACCAGGTGCGTGTGCATGCCAAAAACTACGAGAGGAGAATGGAGGATAAGGGATTGCTGCATGGCCATCGCCCCTGGTGGGTGATTTCTAGTGAGAAATCTGTCTCTGTCTCTCCGGCGAGTGCATGCACTCTATAGCAAAAATCTCTCCACCCCCCCAAAGAAAAGCAAAAAAGGAAATTGGGTAACGGTTATGTTGTTGGACTCCCACATAGTAGTCCGCAATTTGAGTTTCAGACCCCGGAGCTTAAAACTCAGACCATGCGTGTGTGCCCAGAATCCTGAGAGAATGGAGAAGGGATTGTGGTATGGCCACCTACCCTAGGGGTGAGTTCTCACTTTGTCTCTCTGTGTCTCCAGCGAGTGCACTTTCTGTATAGCAAAAGATCTCAATAAAAAAAGAAAAAAAAAAGAAATTGGGATAAGGATCAGGAAAAAAACAAAGCAGGTTCTCCATTAGGTGTGGTAGAAACTTCCATTTCTAGAGCAGAGGTCATCCAATGCATTCATTTTTACTCTTTTTTTCTTCTTTTAAATTAATTATATTTGCCTAAGGGTACATGCACCCGCCAGTGAGAGAGAGAGAGAGAGAGAGAGAGAGAGAGAGAAACCCTCATACCTCATAATGGGATGTGGTCCTGCTGCAGTCCCTTCTCTTCCATCTCTTCCTCCATTTGCATTTTGGTGTATTTTCAAGCCATTGGGTCCAGGACTTAATCTATTCAGCTGGCCATGTGAAATCTTGTTCCTTTAACCACTAGGTGATGGGGCAGGCTCTCTACACATTTTTTTTTTTTCTTTTTAAGTTTATTCTTTTCTTTTTTTTGTGTGTGAGACACACACACACACACACACACAAACACACACAAGTAGCATGCTTGGGTTTTCATGCTATGAGCTACCCTAGCTTCAGCCATCCCCGGGTGATGGCACATGTGAGCTAGGTGTGTTTGGAGAGGCCTTTAGACACGAACTTGGAACCTTCCATACCTGCCTCACAGAGCATGGTGTTACCACTGCACCACCGTCTAGCCCTCAAATTCTACTCTGTATCAGCATCACCTGGGAGTCGGATGTGTGAGAACTGGAGACTTTTGGTACCAACACCAGCAATGTGGGCTCTGTGGATCTGGGACTTGAAGCTTGGCATTTCCCACAAGGTACTTGGAGATGTGGAGGCAAGATAGGTGGATGGCCAGCAGCCCAGACTGAGGACAGCAGCTTTGTTTTGCATGACCTTGGATCAGTTAGAGTCTGATCTTAGGCTTTTTATTTTTTTATATAATTATCATTTTACTTAACTTTATTTATTTATTTTAATTTGACGGAGAGAGAGAGCGCATGCGGGGAGGGCTAGAGAGCTGCCAGGTCCAGGACTCGAACTAGAGTCAAGCATGTGGAAGTCCAGGGCCCTTAACTACCAAGCCACCTGCCAGCCTCTGATCCTGGGCTTTCACGTGTAATAAGTGGAGCTAATAATAGTGCCCACCATGTAGGGCTGCTGTGAGGGCTGAAGTCTTAGCACAGGGTCCCGCACATAATAAGCACTCAGTGCATTTGCCTGATTGTTCATTTGCGAGAAATACAGGAGCTGAGGCTGGCAAGGGATTATTTCCTGCAAAGGATAGAGAAATGAGGAGCAAAAGGAACAAAGAGAGCCCCTAGGTGTGGCCAGGGTGGAGAGTTAGAGTGGGAGGGAGTCGAGGCAGCCATTGCTCCCCGGGTGCACGCTGATGCTGGCCCAGTGGGCCAGATTTCAAGGCGCTCAGACACGGAGACAATAGGGACCGCCGCCCACTCGGACTGACCACCAGCGGAGGCCACAAGGGGGCGGGTGCCCGGCAACAGCGACGCGGTCCCCGGGCTAGCGGAGACTGCGGCCTGGCCTCGCACAGCGCGGAGTCCCACTCTGCCTTCCTCCATCCGCAGATGATGCTCAAGAACCGGCGGGCCACGCTCCAGGAGCTCCACCAGCACGAGCACTTCCTCACCACGCTCAATCAGGAGCTGATCAGCGCCATTCAGGACATGGAAGACAGCTCCGCCGTGAACGTGCGGGCAATGCTGCAGCAGCAGGACATCCTGTCGGTGAGACCCGCACCACGGCCCCCAGCCCCGCCTCGGCCGACGGCGCAGTGGGCGTGTCCGCCCCTCACGCCCGGCCTCCCTCCTGAGCACTCGGGCGCCCTCTCCTGGCCCATTGCACACACCCGAAGACGCATCTCTTCCACCCTTTGCCCCTACGCCCCAGGTTTTGGAGTAGGATCTAGGTCCGGGTCTCATCCCAGCTCCAGCGCTTACTGGCTGGGAGACCTTGAGTTAACCTGGTCTCTCTGAGCTCTGTGAGATGGGGCTTAGTAGCACCCACTCCAAAGGGGCTTGTACCTGGCACACCTACCTATGCAAGACAGAGCAGCTGCTACCACTGCCACCTGACTTTCTTGCAGGGTAATTAGGTGCTTTACATAGAGAACCTATGGGGTGGGACTGTTATCTGCATTTTAGTTATGAAAAAATGGAAAGGCAGAAGGGCTCAGTAACTTGCTCAAGTCACCAGTTGGCAAGGGTCAGAGCTGGCATTTCTTTTTCTTTTCTACTTTTCTTTTGAGACAAATTCTCATAGTATTGCACAAGGTGACTTTGAACTCACAAACTTCTTGCTTCAGCCTCCTGAATAGCTGGGATTACAGGGACAGGGCACTATAGCAGGCTGAGAGCTGGGATTTGAGTCAGGCAATCAGTATCAAGATCTGTGCTCTTTCCACCATGCTATTATTAGCACCCTCAGCCCAGTGCTGGCACTTAGGGTCTGTGAGTGAAGATTGATCCTAGGCTTTTTAAAGTTTTTAATAAGAATTATTTTATTTAACTTTATTTATTTAAATTTGATGAGAGAGAGAGAGAGAGAGAGAGAGAGAGAGAGAGAGAAAGAGTGAGTTGCAGGTCCAGGACTTGACCTGTGGTCAAGCATATGGATGGTGTGAGGAAGGGATTGGAGAGGTGAGGCCAGCCCAGATCAGATTGAGGAGGCCTTGTCAGCCAAGGGAAGGAGTTTAGAATTTATTTATAGGATGAAGGGGGGCCATTGGAGAGTTTTAAATATGAGAGGGAAATGGTCAGTTGTTTCTCTTCTCTCTCTCTCTTTTTTTTTTTTGAGAGGTTTTTGCTACAGGGTGCGTGTGCTTGCCAGACAGACAGAGAGAGACAGAGAGACAGAAAGCAAGAAATCACCCCCCAGGGGAGATGGCCACACTGCAATCCCTTCTCCTCTGTTCTCCTCTTGGGATCTTGGGCACGCACACACCGCCCAGCATGAGTTTTAAGCCACTAGATCCGGGATGTGAACTGTGGTCGACTACATGGGAGTCCAGCGACATAGCCTTTACGCTAACTGCTGGGTCCCTCTCTTTTTTAAAAAATGTGTGTGATCCAGCATCCAATCAAAGATTCACTTTATACTTAGTTTACATGTTTCTTTCATCTGGAACATTTCCACAGCATTTTTTTTTTAAAAGAATTACTTATTTTAATTTTATTTATTATTATTTTAAAATTTGCTATAGGGCACCTGTGCTCACCAGAGAGAGAGTCAGAGAGAGAGAGAGGTAAAGTGAGAAAGCAAGCTGCTGCCAGGTCTGCAGCTTGAACTGCAGCCACCCATGTGGGAGTCCAGTCCCTTAACCACCACACCATCTGTTGGCCCTGGTCAGGTTATTTATTTATTTATTTATTGATTTTAGAAGTTTTTGCCTTAAGGCATGTGCACTCACTGGAGAGAGCGAGGGACAGAGATGGTGAGAGGGAAGGTGAGAAGTTACTCCTCAGGGAGGGTGGCCATGTCTCAATTCCTTCTCCATTCTCCTCCTGGGATCTCGGGCAAACATGTACATATGCTCAGCATGAACTTCAAGCCACCAAGTCCGGGACTCGAATCGCGGTTGGCCGTGTGGGAGTCCAGCAACATAATTGCTTCACCATCTGCTGGCTCCACGATCAGCTGTTTTTTCTTTTTTAAAATATTTATTTATTTTATTTGTTATTATTATTATTATTTCTTTTTTGAGAAATTTTTGTTATAGGGTGCGTTCACTTGCCAGAAAGACAGAGACAGAAAGTGAGAAATCACTCCCCAGGGGAGATGGCCACATTGCAATCCCTTCTCCTCCATTTTCCTCCCATGATCTTGGGCATGCACACACACGCACCCAGTGTGAGTTTAAGCCACCAGGTCCAGGACTCGAACCACGGTCGACTACATGGAAGTCCAGTGACACAGCCATTACGCCAACTGCTGGCCCCAGTTATTATTATTTTTTAGTTGGCAAGAGAAAGGGAGAAAGTGAGATAGAGAAAGTGCGAGATCAAGCCCCAGGTCCAAGATTTGGACCATGGTTAGCCATGTGGGAGTCCAGTACCTTAGCCACCACGTCACCTGCTGGCCCTATGATCAGTTGCTTTTTAACAGAATGATCATTTCGATTGCTATGTGGAGAGTAGATCGAAGGAAGACCAGTTAGGAGTAGTTGTTGATATTTCATGAAAGATGAAGAGAACTTGAATAAGATAGTGGCACTAGGGTACAGAGGAGGGCATGGCTCTGAGAGCTGTTTGAGGGTTAAAGTCTGTACAGCTTGGTGACAAGAGTACAATAAGGACCCATTCTGCCTGGGTGAGTGCATGTGCGGTAGGGCATTGACTGAGGTGGGGTAGTGGGGGGGGTTAACATGGGGTAGGGTAGGAGGTGGGTCCCCCCCACCCCAGAGAGATGTTTGCTCTAGGGCACTTGCTAGCTGGAGAAACAGAGGGAGAGAAAATGAAAAATAACCTCTCAGGGTGATGGCCACGCTGTCATCTTTTCTCTAGTCTCCTCTCTGGGTTTTGGGCATGCACAAGCACATGCCTGGTATGAATTTCAAGCCACTGGGTCTGAGACGCGAACTGCGGTTGGCCACGTAGGAGTCTAGTGCCTTAGCCACTATGGGAGGTGGCTGTTTTGTAGCCTCTGATCAGGTTGCTGGGCCCGGGGGTGGGGTTGGGATTGAGGGCTTCTCTGCAGAAGTACTGAGTGGCCACAACAGGTGCCAAGGGCCTGCAGAGGCTAGGGGTGAGCTGATCCCATGCCTCCCGCAGACCATCATCGACATCTTGGAGTACTCGAATAAGAAGAGGCTGCAGCAGTTGCAGTCTGAGCTTCAGGAGTGGGAAGAGAAGGAGGAAAGCAAGATGAGCCGTAAGAATCCCTCGTCCACCCTCTCTGTGCATAGAGGTCAGCTGCAGGGCATTCTCCTTGCACCTGCCTTTCAGAAACCATCCGGCTGTCATCTCCCTGCTGGGTGGATGGAATGGCTTAGATGCAGAGCTGATGGCTTATCTACTCTGCACTTAGCATGTTCCAGGCCCCATGTGTCTGCATTAACATTTAAAAAAAATAATTATTTACTTAATTTTATTTATTATTATTTAAAAAAAATTTGACCAGAGAGAGGAAGGGAAAATTGGAAATCAGGTCACCAGGTCCAAGACTCAAACTGTGGTTGGCCACAAGGGAGTCCAGTGCCTTATCCAGGGTGTGTGCACTTGCACGAGTGAGACAGTGAGAGAGAAAGTAAGAAATCACCTCCAAGAGGGGATGGCCACACCACAATCCCTTCTCCATTCTCCTTCTGGGATCTTGGGTACACATTTACATGTGCCCGGTGTGTTCAAGTCACCGTGTCTGGGACTCGAACTGTGGTCAGCCATGTGGGGGTCCAGGGATATAACTGCTGCACCATCTGCTGACCCTTGTGTCTCTTTCCTTCCAATGTTGCCTCTGTTCCCATGGAGGTGGGAGACTCTCCAGGGCCCTAACTTTTTACCACCTCCCAGCTTTGATTGTGCTTACCTCATCCCAGACCCTAATCGATGGATTGAGGAGAGCCTTGCATCTCAGGCCTCCTTGGAGTGGTCCTTGAGGGAGGTCTTGCCTCCTGCCCCTCGTACTCTCCTGTACCCCTGCTCAGGCCTGGAGCAGCAGGTGGAGCAGCTGAATGCTACAATCAAGAAGACCCACGAGGAGGTGAGCTTCCTGAGCACGTACATGGACCACGAGTATCCTGTCAAGTCGGTCCAGATCGCCAACCTTGGGCGTCAGCTGCAGCAGCTTAAGGACAGCCAGCAGGTAGAGGAGCCCTGGCCCTGCCACTCTGGACTGCATGGGAGGCAGGGCTGGTGATCAACACCCTTTTGCTGGCCCCCAGGATGAGTTAGATGAGCTTAGTGAGATGCGCAAAAAGGTCCTGGAGTCTTTGTGTGACAAGATGCAGAAGAAGAAAAAGAAGATCCTGAAGTTTCTGGTGGTGGTGAGAAACTAGCTGCTGTGGCTAGTGTCCAGGTCCTACCCCAAGCCCTCTCTCCTCCCTGCCCTCTGCCACCAGCCCCTCTGCACCCTGCCAGTCTCCACCATGCACTCCTGCCCAGAAAGAGCATCTGGGGGCCAGACCTCTCCTTCCTCCGCAGAAAACCCAGCAGCCCCATGAGGAGGCTCTTGTGCAGAAGTCCCGGGACAGTGAGGACATGCGGAGATGCGTGAAGAGGTTCAGAGAGGTGAGTGGGTAGGGAGACAGTGGTCTCTCTCTAAGTGGGGAAGGGGTGGGTGGTCCCCAGGACGTGGTGTTAGTCTTCCCCTTTGCCTGTACCATTACTGTCACTCATTCCTCTGGGAAGGAGATTTGCACTGGCCTAGGCCTCACCTCATTGACCAGCCTTATTGGCCATGACCACTAACAACCTCAGGAAGCATCATCTACTCACCCGTTGACCACTGCCTATCTTCAGCCCTTAATTCTTGTCACTGAGCATCGCCATTATTGGCGTTAATGACCTTTGTCATCACCACTCTCTCCAATTAATTTTTATTACCACACACCCTCATCAGTTTCCAGCATGAGTGCCCTTCACCATCTCCACCAGCTTCAGTTTATTCTCCACGATCATGCAGTTCCATCCATTTGCATCCTGTCTTCATCCTCCACGGTCAGAGGTTTTTGCTATAGGGTGCATGTGCTCGCCAGACAGACAGACAGAGACAGAGAGACAGAAAGCGAGAAATCACCCCCCAGGGGGGATGGCCATGGTGCAATCCCTTCTCCATTCTCCTCTCGGGATCTTGGGCACGCACACACACGCGCCCGGTGTGAGTTTAAGCCACCGGGTCCAGGACTTGAACTGCAGTCAACTACGTGGGAGTCCAGCGACATAGCCATTACGCTAACTGCTGGCCCCGGTCCCCTGACCTTTTCAGCACCATTGAGCATTGTCACTAGCTGTGAAACAGCCCCACCCTACATGGAAGGTCCCTCTCTGGAGCCCAACGTGTCCCAGTGAAAAAGTCCACATCGTTTCCCCAGATAGCTTTCTTCTCCATCCATTTTGTCCTTTTCTTCCTGGGGTTGGGAGAACATGTGGCTTCTCACCCCTGCCCTGCTGTGCCTCTCTCCCCAGTTTATTGGTCAGTTTGAGGAGGAAATGCCCATTTTAAAGGCTGAGGTGGAGGAGCTCCAAGCCCAGATGCAGGAGCCTCGAGAGATCATATTTCAGGATGTTCTGCTTCGGAGACCCAAGTAGGTGATCTTAAACCAGCTGTGCTCTGGCCTGGAAGGGGCTGTCTGTGCTTGGGGAAGGAGACCTGGGGCTCCATCTCAGTTCTACCACCGACTGGGCAGGTCTGACTTCTCCCTGGGCCTCAGTTTTCCATCTGTACACAGCAAGCTGGTTTAGATAATCATTTTTTATTTTTATTTGTTTTAGAGAGATCTTTGCTATAGGGCACGAGTGCTTGCTGGAGAGACAGAGACAGAGAGACAGAAAGTGAAAAATCTACCCCTGGGGGATGACCACGCCACAATCCCTTCTCCATTCTCCTCTTGGGCTTTGGAGCACACACGCACACATGCCTGGTGTGAGTTTTAGCACTGGGTCCAGGACTCAAACTACAGTTGACTATGTGGGTGTCCAGCGATGTAACCATTATGTCATCTGCTGGTCCCAGTTTAGGTCATCTTTAAGAACCCTTCCTGTTCCCTGATTCCATGTGTCAGTCAAGTAGGTGCACCCATTCACTTCCAGGTTGTTGAAGAAGGTGGGGGGCAGGGTGAGGAGGTGGCTCCAGGGAAGACATAGCACAAACATGGAAGGATGTCCTTTATGCTTGGTAGGCTTTGGGGCCCAAGGTTAGAACTTCCTTCCAAAAGCAATTCTTTGCCTGCCTTCCCTTGGGTCAGAGGGACGTAATCCTCTGTGGTTGGGTTTGGGGTTCTCCCAGGCCAGGCCAGGCCTCTCCATGAAGGCACCACAGGGCTATGTGTGGCATTGCCCGGTCTTTGTGAGTTATTTAATTTTTCTTCTTTGTCTCTGCCACTTTCTCCATTTTCTTCCTTCACCTCTTCCACCTCCTTCTTTCTTTATTTTTAAAAAATTCTTTATTTAATTTAATTTATTTTTTTAGAGAGATTTGTATTATAGGGCATGCGTGCTCGTCAGAGAGACAGAGAGAAACAGAGAGACCAAAAGTGAGAAATCATCCCCTGGGGGAATGGCCACACTGCAATCCCTTTTTCTCCATTCTCTTTTGGGGATCTTGGGTATGCAAACACATGCACCCGATCTAGGACTCAAACCATGTGGTCAGCCATGTGGGATCCAGCTGTCTTAACCACCAGACCACAGGGCTTGCCCAGCTTCAGCCCTCTTCAGGGAAACATGAATCTTGCCAAACTCTGTTCTTTTCCATTTGGATGTTTTGTTTGTATGTGTGTGTGTCCATGTGTATGCACAGTGGGGCTTCGGAATCACAGGACATGTTATGGGGTGTAGAATACCTACGGTACAGGGCAGGGGTCCTCTGAGGGTGTGCTCTCTCATCGCTTTACCCTGGCATTCTGATGGCTTCTGACTCCCCTCTCTGATACTTGCCCTAGGTGCACCCCAGACATGGACGTCATCCTCAACATCCCTGTGGAGGAGCAGCTGCCCTTCTAGGAGGTGTTGCCGTGGCCACTCCTCCCTGTTCTCTTCCCAGCACTGGGAGCCCTGAATTCTTTACTTCCGAGACTGTGTCTCCATTCAGACTCCAATCTGCAGCCCTTCTCCCTTCTTCCCACTCTTCCCATCTATAGTTTCTCTCTCTTTCTCTCTCTCTCTCTGGTAGGTGCTGCTGCTTGGGCCAGGTGAGAATTCATTTTAACCTGCCAGTCTTTTTTTTTTTTTTAACCAATAAAGCTGGATTTGCAGTCGCTTACTGGTGGTATCAGATGTCCCCAGCTACGCCTTGCGGAAGACTTGGCGTAAATGGACTTTGTCTTCAGATAAGGGACAGGCAACTGTGCCAGTTGTATCTGGGGCTCAGTACTTCTCCAGAAGAAGTGCTGGAGGGAACCCTTTGTACAAGTTCAAGGCTGTGTGCCTCTGGCCACCCACTCCTGAGAAACAGGAGCCCAGCTTCCCTTCTAACTTATTCCCTGATCTGTGTGGCCTGTGCCAGGGCAGAAGGGAGATCCCAAGTTGAATGCACCTGGGACCTCTCTGGCCTTCATCACTGATAGCCTCTGTCTTCTAGTCCAGCCATCCGACTGCCCACTGCCTCTGCCTCAGCTGCGTGTGGACACGAGCACGACTCATCCTCAAGTGCGTCGTTTTGCATGGCTCCACACTGTACTCTTCTGTGGTGGACTTAGCCGTTTCCAGATCCCCCTTCTGGCAAGGCCTTGGTGGTGTTGTGGGCAGGATCCTTTGCACTCAGACCCTCCAGGAATGGTCTCAGCTGCAGAGTCACCTCACACAAGGTCAAGCCCCGCTCCCCCCACGTCCAATACTGCTCCATGTGTGAGAACCAAAGGCCCTGTCATTTGGCCCAACTTGGAACAGCTCTGAAGGGCTTTCCGGCTCCAGAACTCCCTGTAGGATTGGCTGACACTGGCCTGGGGCCTGTGTTGCAGCTTCATTCTCCCTCTGCCCAATCCTGCACACTCCTCTCTCGGTTAATTCCGAGGGCTCTCATTAAGGAACGTTCTGCACCCCACACTCCATCTCCTAGCTGGCTTCCCAGGAACTCAGCTGCCATCATGCCCAAGAGCTTTTGGCCACTGCCAGACCCGCCTTGAGTGCTAGAAAACTTGGTTATAGATGACAGAAAAACCACCTCAAGTTAGCCTAGACAATAAAGGACTGAGGTAAACAGTCTAGGTGAGCTTTTATCCAGAAATCAAATGGCACCAGGTACCCAGTTTCTGTTTCTATTTATTGTCCTCCTAAGGTTGGGACTCCCCGTGACCCAATCCACTGGCTTCTCTAGGAGTTGCAGGGTTCCTCGGATATAGCCTGCTGAGAAGAGGGGCTCAGCATTTCCAGCCAAGGTCTTAAGATTCACTGGGCTGGACCCACTTACACCATATGCCTTGAAGCAGTCTTGGAGGGGGAGGGTGCTGTTGGCTTGTCTAGGTCACATGGACTAAGGACTTCCCCCCGAAGGGGTGGTTGATGTGGAGCACATGACTTGGGTTAAGCCTGTAGGCTTCTCTTCAGAACCATGTGGATCTCCAAACAATTTGCCAATGTTGGACATAATAGCAAACACTTAAAAAGAACTAATTTGGGGCCAGCAGGTGGTGTAGCAGTTACAATGCTAGACTCCCTCATGGTTGACCATGGTTCAAGTCCTGGACCTGATGGCTTGAAAATCATGCCAGGTGTGTGTGTTTGCATGCCCAACATCCCAGGAGGAAAATGGAGGAGAAGGGTTTTTAGATGGCCATTCCCCCTGTGGGGTGATTTCTCACTATCTCTAGCTAGCATATGTGCCCTATGGCAAAAGCCTTAGGAAAAAAAAAAACAACCCAAAACAACTAACTCTGTGCTTTACACGTGTTAACTCATTAAACCTTCACAAGAAAACCATCTGAAGTAAGTATCATTAGTATTTTCATTTCACACATGAAGAAACCAAAACATGAAGAGGTAAAGTGATTTTTCCAGAGTCCCCAGGCTAAGAAGTGGTAGAGGCAGTTTGCTATAGGGCATGTGCTCATGGGAGACAAAGACAGAGAGAGAAGGAAAGTGAGAAATCACTCCCGGGGGAAGGGGGACGGCCAAGCCACAGTCCCTTCTGGTTTCCTCTTAGGATTTTGGGCACACACGCACACATGCCCAGCATGTCTCAAGCCACTGGGTCTGGTCCTTGAACCACACAGTTGACCATGTGGGATCTAGCCACCCTAACTTCCACACCACTCCTTGCCCCCTTCCCCCTCCTCCAGTTTGCTCTTTTAGAATTTATTTTTATTTTTATTTTTTTTAGAGGTTTTTGTTATAGGGCGTATGCGCTTGCCAGACAGATACAGAGAGACAGAGAGATAGAAAGCGAGAAATCACCGCCCAGAGGGGATGGCCACACCGCAATCCCTTCTCCTCCATTCTCCTCTTGGGATCTTGGGCAAGCACGCACATGCGCCTGGTGTGAGTTTTAAGCCACCGGGTCCAGGGAGATGGCCACACTGCAATCCCTTCTCCATTTTCTTCTCAGGACTTTGGGCACATATACACATGTGCCTGGCATGAGTTTTAAGCTGCTGGGTCTGGGGCTTGAACCATGGCTGACCATGTGGGAGTCCAGTGATGTAACCATTACACCATCTGCTGGTTCCCCCTCTAGTTTGCTTTTAACCTCTGTGCTGTCAGGAGCTCAGTTGCCAGGTGTCTGAGTGACTAAGACAAGCCAAAATGGGGACCAGGAGATGGTGCTGTGGTTATGTCTCTGGACTCCAACATGGCTGACCGCAGTTTGAGTCCTGGATCTGGTGGCTTGAAAAATCACGCTGTGCATGTGTGCAAGCTTTTCCCAAGATTTCAGGAAGAGAATGGAGAAGGGATTGCTGCAAGGACATTCCCTCTGGGGGTGGTTTCTCACTTTCCCTCTCACTGTCTGTCTCTCCAGTGAGCACATGCGCCCTAAGGCAAAAATAAAAACAAAAAAAACAAAACCCTCTTTTTTTTTTTTTTTCTTTTCTTTTGGAGGGGTTTTGCTATAGGGTGCATGCGCTCGCTAGAAAGACAGAGAGGCGGAGAGACAGAAAGCCAGATGGCCACACCGCAACGCACACACGCCTGGCATGAATTTAAACCACCAGGTCTGGGACTCGGACCGCGTTCGAATCCAGCAACATAGTCATTATGCTAACTGCTGGTCCCTAAAAAAAAAAAAAAAAAAAAAAAGACAAGTCAAAATGAAAGTACCTGAGACCAGCAGATGGCATAATAGCTACGTCACTGAACTCCTACGTAGTCGACTGTGGTTTGAGTCTCAGAGCAGTGACTAAAAACTCGTGCAGAGTGTGTGTGTGTGCATGCCCAAGATCCTGAGAGGAGAATGGAGAAGGGGTTGTAGCATAGCCATCTCCCATGAGGGGGTGTGTGATTTCTCAATTTCTGTCTCTGTCTCTTCATCTTGTGGCGAGTGCACGTGCCCTATGGCAAACATCTCTTTCAAAAAACAACAAAAAAAGTAAAATAAAATGAAAAAAAGAAAATAGCACCCAAGCCCCGAAGTGCTTATTAATAGTGTAGGGGACGGCACCAGAAAACACCCACCCAGTTCTATTTTCCCCATGGAATGGTGCCATCCCAAGTCAGCATAGATGTGGGGATAGCCTCACTGCCCAGGAGCCTCAGACAAAAGGTTCCTGCAGTTTTTTGCACCAGAGGGCTCAGTGTGCAGAAGGGAGAGTGGGAAAAGCACTGAGTCCTTAGTACAGAGAATAGTGTCTTCGAGGCTTTCCCCTCTTCCCCTGATAAGGAGGTCTTAGCAGAGGCACCTGAGGAAAGCTTTGGCCAAAAGTCCCCAATAAAGAGTTTTCTCAATAAAGACCTGGCGAGGAATGCAGATATGCTTGAGAGCTTTGCCACAACTTTCTCTACACCAGGGATCCCCAGGCCCTGGGCTGTGGATGAGTGCCAATCTGCCAGGCCATGCAGTGGAGGCTGGGTGGTGGGTGAGGGAGTGAGGCTTCATCTGTGTTTGCAGCCACTCCCTGTCGATGGCATGGCCACCTGGGCTCCGCCTCCTGCCAATCAGCAGTGGTATTGGATTCTTATGGGGGCGTGAACCCTATTGTGTGATTGTCTCACCGTATCTTGCAATGTGGTAGTGATGAAAATGGGGTGCGTGGTAGATGTGGTGCGCTTGGGTCTTCCCAAGACCATCCACCTCCACCCCTGGTCAGTGGAGGGATTGTCTTCCATGAGGCCAGTTCCTGATGCCAGGAAGGTTGGAGACCGCTGCCCTGCAGACCCCAATGCTCTGACTGGTGTGGGAAGGCAGCTTTCCCCATGAGGCTTGCCAGGTAGAACCTTTGTTGGGCTGACAAGTCACATATCGATTTTGAGCCAGGTGCTGGACTGTTCATGAAGGGATGCATGAATTCTGAGGGGAAAAGCAAGATGAGAAGCCTGGACATTGAGATTTCTTTACATTGTACACAGCCATCACGGCCTCAGATGTGGCAGAGTAACCCCACACATGTACACAACTGTACACGGATCTTTTCCCACCTAGGGCTGCATGTAGGTCAACCCTCACATGCACATGCATACACCCTAGGTCTGTCTGTTTGTTATTTTTACTTGCCAGAGGGCATGTGTGCTTACTAGAGAGAGACAGAGAAAGAGAAGGAAAAAAAGCACCCCCCCTCCCACACGGTGTGGGCATGCTGCAATCCTTAATCTAACACTTCTCCATCCTGTTGGGATTTTGGGCATTCAAAATAAAATAAAACATACCTGATAAGTTTTTCAAGCTCCCAGGGCCAGTATTTGAACTTGGGTCTGCCATTTGGTGTTCTGGCTCTCTTAATCGCTAGACTACTTGGCTAGTTCTTGGGACTGAGTTAAATGAAAGAAGGACCCTGACAGCATGTCATGTCAGGAATTCTCTGTATTAACTTTATCCCCAGCAATAACACAGCAGAACATGTAACGACAAAACTCAGTGACCTTTCAACAAGAGTTTTTCGTTCCATTCAATGTCCTCAGGTCAATTGTGCTTTGGCTGAACTCAGCCGGCTGGATTGGGTGGTTCTGCTTTGACCTGTCAGCCGGGCTTGTTGCCAGACTGCGTTAGGCTCAGGGTTGTTCCTCATGTTCCAGGCCATCTGGGATGTGCCTTTCTTAATTTTTTTTTTAGAGAGAGATTTTT